GTCTTACTGATCGCCACATTTGGGGTCGGGAAGGATTTTCCCTCCAGTGCATATTGCCTGAGCCTCAGGAGGTTTTTCGCCTTCCTCCGCAGCATGGGGCAGGGATCTCTAGCAGGAGGGTCTCTGCCGATTGCAGTCACTAAAAACAGGATTGGAGACTTCAACAGCAGAGTCCAGGGAAGGGGTAAGGACGGTTTTATGGCCTGCAGCATGCAGGGGGTCAGACCAGATGATCAAAATGGTCCCTTCTGACCTTAAAGTCTATGAGTCTATGAATTAGTTCTACTGCTTATATATATGAGCCCAGGGCGTTTATCAACTGATCAGGGCAAATACACATAGGATCACTGTGAGAGTAGGCTATTGCTTTTACAAAAGACATGTTTAAACTATGTAACTAGTTCCCACTTGTTAGTTTGTATAGGCATCTGCATAGTAGTAAGTTTCATCAAAATAATTTCCTCTGGAATGTGCACAATAACAAGATAAAAAGCTATTGCTTTTTTCTAAATCTGATCTGTTAAAGAAAATTGATTAATTTTGCCACATGCTCATCCAGCACCAAAATGACAGTTGGTTTATATGTTTATTTTTTTGTAAACATACAAAAATGTATAGATTTACAGGAAGAACAGATAGGACAAAGATATATAGAGAAACTTTACACAGTACAAGCAAGCAGTAATGGGTGGAAAACATTACAGGGAAGTGTTTAAAGCGAGCTTGGTCCAATGTGTAAAATTGTTTTATAATGGCTATTAATGGTGTATTTTCAGGTTTTAATATCAGTGCATTTTTAATTTGTGATTCAATACAAATTCACATCTCTCCTGATTAAAAAAAAAACAAAATAAAACAAAACAAAAATCCTCAACAACTCCATGACATACTTCCGAACTTTTTCAGTCATAGAGCTACTTAGTTGATAAGCTAGTATTGAGTTAAAAGAAAATCTCAATTTAAAAAAGACTTTCCGTTTCCAGATATTGGTCAGTGATTTCTGTAGTCTCCAAAAGCAGAGGCCTCTTCTGGCTAATGGAAATCTGTACAAGGTTTTGTTGGTCAACTTGAAGAGAGCCTTTCACCATCACAGACAAACACAAAAAAGGCTTTTCTCAACAAACGCACCTTTGACTTGAGTTAGTCTTCAGGGAGGTAGTGTGTTAACAAAAAGGGCACTGACTGGAAGTCAGGAGATTTGGGTTCTATTCCTAGGACTTCCATTGACCTGCTGTATGACTTTGGGCGGGTTATTTCACTTATGCCTCAGTTTCCTACCTATAAAATGAGGATAATGATACTTACCTTCCTTGAAGTCTACAGATAAATGCTAGTAAGTATTATATACTCATGTATTAATGGGAGTTGCCTGGGGAAAATTATAGTACAAAAAAAGTAGGTTGAACTTAAACACTGAGTAGGGAGAAAGAGCATTAAGAAAACTACCTAGCTGGAGAATGTCAAGGAGCTACTGTAACAGACTGCAAAATAAAATGATTGATGGCTTGTATGACATTTTCATACCATCTGAACATAGTGAAATATTTCAAGTATGCATTGAGGTGTCAGGGGAAGAAAATCTTAGGGTATGTCTACACTGGCAAGTTTCTGCGCCACAAGTTATACCACTTTTATTAAAACGCTGGAATTAAACCGCTGGTGCGTGTCCACACTGTGCTCCTTGTGACGCTGCAGCGCATCCACATTAGCAGCTCTTGCAATGGCAAAAACAGCAGTGCATTGTGGTAACTATCCCACTGTGCAACTAGCCACAGGGTGCTTTTGGGAAGGGTTTGCAATGCCTCATGGGGCAGGCACAGCGTCACATAATGCAGGTTTCCCAATCCCATTGTTCCAGGGGTATCCGACTACATTGCCAGCTGCTTTTCAACTGAAGGGGTGGCGGGGAAGAGTATGTGACAGGGAGTGTGTGTGTGTATGGAGAGGGGGAGAGAGACAATGTGTTCTGGGGGACAGAGTGTGTGTCAGCATGCTGTCTTGTAAGTTTAAACAGCGACAGGAAGCAGCCAGTCCTAATGCAGGGGGAAACCCTGACATCAGCCCCCGCCTCCCTCTCTGGGTTCTCTGCACTGCAATCTCTCTCTCACACTCACACACACACACGCACCCCTACCTACCTCTGTGTTCAACAGCGCAAGCATTCCACATTAATGGTTTGCTTTGTATCCCGGAGCAGATCAGCACAGCACACAACCGCTGTCAGAAACAGTGCTTTGAAAGGGAAGGGGCGCATGTCTCCAGGGCAGCCGAGTTCAAAACAATGAGCAGAGCGGTCACTTGATGCATTATGGGACAGCTCCGGAGACCAATTACAGCGCAGAAAGCAATCAAGTGTCTACACTGGCAGTAGAGAGCTGGAGCCTCTGTGCAAATAGCCTTATGACTCTTGTCGAGGTGGTTTTTTTTCAGCGCTGCGGCTGAGGAGTTTCTGCGTACAAAGTGGTTTGGCAGTGTGTACACGTCTGCAGTTTGAGTGCAAAAAGCTGCTTTACTCACAGAAACTTGCTAGTGTAGACAAGCCCTTAAACAGGTAAAAAGGTGTGTAATTTTTGTATTTACAGATAGTATTGCATTTGATTCCTTCAGAAGAAACAGACGACAGTGATTTGGTCATGGAAGTAACTGCTGGAGTTGGTGGACAGGAAGCCATGCTGTTCACTGCAGATATATTTGATATGTACCAACAATATGCTGCATATAAAAACTGGAGATTTGAAATACTGGAATATTTTCCAAGTGAAATAGGTTAGTAATTAATGTTCTAATAACTTGAATCGAAAAGTTGTATAGTTAAAAGCAATGTACTTACAGGAGGGTTTTGTTGCCTGCCTACAAGCACTTCACTTCCAAATTTAAGTAAACAGAATCAGTGAGCTGTTTTAATATATAAACAAGATTTTTCTCAATTTTTACTGTGAGAATGAAAGGATGAAAATCTATAGCTTCACACAATGTAGTTGGCGTAGCTTGAGAAAAATCAATATGAATTGAAGTTACATGTTTGGGGTGAAGATCTCTGCATACTGGTATATTTATATATTAAGTATATTTTTATTGATTTGGAAACAGTAGTTTTATATAGCTATTTAATATTCTTGTTTTTATAATATATTCATTCTGTTGTATTCTGAATGTTTGTTCAGTGCTCTGGGTGCTTTGGCACAAAAAGGGGCACTATTTAATTAAAATTATATTCAGTGTCTAAGCTGAAATATCTTGAATTTATCTGAAATGTTGTCTTCTGCCAAATATTTTCTCATCCATTTAAGTTTTGTTTCAGTAAAAATGTACAATAAAACCTCACTAATCTGCACCAAAAATGCACATGCTCAATATCACACATGTGCTCAATTGTAAATTCACCTGAACAGTAAGTTTAAAGGTTGAGCCATTACATAAACCTCATGATCTCCATTTAACCATATAACTCTTATGATAAAGGCTTAAATAGTGTGCAAGACCTTTCCCTGGAACTCTTCACTGAAATGAATATTACCCTTTGGGAATTATAGGGCCATATTTTAATGGGCAAACCTTGTACACATGAATTAGTTGTTGCATGCAATTGTACTTCTGAAAATGTAGGTCTGGTTCCTTTGTGAAACCCATCCTCTTCGTAAGCTAGACTGGTCACTTTCTGACTGTCGTAAAATCATCCTTGTGACTCCATCTTAATGAAGATCGGATTTATACATTTGTATCTTTTATTCAATCTAGTAAAGTTAAATTGTGTAACAGGATTTTTTTTAAAAGCAGAAATATTCAAATATATAAAACTGGTCTATGCTACAGTCTTCTTCAGTTCTTTTCTCATTGTCAGCTGAGAAATTTGGACTGCTAGTTTCGAATGACTGTGATGAGCTCAAGTTTTCTATTATTTCAAAATCTCCTTCTAGAGATGTTGTTAACTGGATTAAGCAAATTCCCCAAGTGCTAATTCTTAAACATGCCAAGATTTATAATTCAAGGACATCCATCAGGTAGACTAATTCTATCACAAGTAAACTGATTGTTGTGGTCAAACATACCCAGTTTGCCAGTACATTTTCTTTCCAAGTCACAGTACAGATGGTATAAGGCATTCCTGTGGGTATGCCTTAGGTGTAGGTGTTACTTTGTTTCTTAATCAAGTTAATTAATGTCCATTCTATTTTTTTTTATTTCCACATGCTGTGGTAGCTTCTAATTAAATATACAATGGTTTACTAAAGCAGATTAACTCACTAAAACATTTCACAAAAGACATGACTGTAGGTTCACCAAATGGTAAACAAATAAGATGTTTGACCTGTATAGCTTAAACATTCACCTATTTTGGAAACATACTAACTTTTGGGATAAGACATGGGAAAGATAGAGAAGAAGCTGAATCACTAAAAAACACTAGAAACTAACTTAATAATCACTAATACCATAGTGCACTTTCAAATATTTTTACTGTGATCATCAATCAACTTCCTCTTCAGCTTGCTATGTAGAAGAGATACTTATTTAGCTTTTTAATTAGAAATAAATGTGTTTAAGCATTAATATTATAGTAAGCCTACATTCTATGTAATTGAGCAAGAATCCTTGAATATACAGCAATAAATCTTTTACTCAGTCTGATGATGGCCATATTATACAATTGAAAGATTTCACAAGAATTGTTAGCATGGAGAGCGTATGTTAAAGTTTCAGATTTCTTTGGCAGCCATTCTTATTTAACAGACATATCCAAACTGTATCTTGGATAGCTGTATTTATTAGTGTCGGTATTAAGTGGTGGATTTAACATACAGCATTAACATAATAAACTGATACATGCTGACAAATAACTTAAGCTATAAAGTTTGTTTAATTATGCATTGAGGTAACAAAGCGATACATTTACAAATTCATATAAAACCCTATTTTATTGGCAAGTATAGGTAAAATTTAAAAAGAAATCACCACGATAGGTCAGATGGCTTTGTAAGGAAGCAGGGAGGGAAATGGTAAGGTTGGCATACAGACCATTTGGGCGGGAGGGGAGAGGGTGTTCCCTACAGACTGACTTAATGGAATCAAAACTTATTTCTTTTTTGTGAGAAAATGTTAATAGAATATTAAGAGTCTGCAGAGAACAGCAATATTTGCAAACCCCTTAATTACAGTTGTCAAACACCAGTTCCACAACGTGGATCTGGCCTGCTAAATGTATTTTTGGTGGCCTAGATTGCATAGTCAGATTTCTGCACTGTTTTGGCTTTCATTTTAGAAAGCTTCTATCTAGCCCTTGAAGAGATAACCTAACATGTATACTGATGCAGGAATGGCTTTTAGTGATCTGTACCTTCCCATTCCTATTAATCTCATTGGGTTTATCTCCAAATTCCAGTTGTGACAGATTGTCAGCCTTAACTATTTCATTGCTGATAATTTTAGTGACTGGAAAGGGGTGGTTGGGAATTGAGGGTTTTTCCTACCTCTCAGCAGGAAAGGAAATGCAGAGAAAGAAGAAAGGAAGAGAAATACAAAAACGGGGAAGAGGGGAAGAGGACTAAAGGTGGATGGGAAAGAGACACAAAGAACAAAAATAGTCTTGGTCCTAAAGTTGAGCAAATTTTTCCATTGAGTAATGCAGAATATGGCAAGATACTAACAAATAATAAGTAAGTTTGTTACTATACAGAGACCATATTCCACTCATGATCTTTTTGTAAACTTACTATTGACATCAGTGGGAGTTCCATGAATGGAGGGAGATATGTAGTTGTAAATATATATCATGGCCCACAGACATAATTTAAAATGGCATTTGGCGTCCTCCACAGAATGAATTTGACACGCCTCCCTTTAACAAACAACCTGCAGGGAATTTTTGTTCTTGGGTCGTTTTTTTTTTTTTTTTTTTTTCATCATTGGGTATAAACCTGACTGAATATATTAGTTAAAACATTTTTCCTTGTTAACTGCTTATTTTTTAAAAAAATTAGAAGATAATTCCTATGGAAATTTCCTAGTAGAACACTCAGACAAGTCTGCCTCTTCATTGTGTAATCAGCAATCTTGATTTTCCCCAACACTGAAAGATACATGAGACAACATACAGAAGGCAAGAGTGCTGCAGAATGTTGAGGAATGGAACACAGGTTGGCTGGTGAGGAGGTACTTTATAATTAAGTAAAGCCTGATTCAGACTACACATAAGTCACTTGATAAATTATTCCTAACTTTTTCCCAAGAACAAATGTCAGTATCATCTAAATAAAATGTTTCAAATTATAATAGGATAGTTATAGTAAGACAGTTTTCTCTTTGTCTTTAAGGTGGCCTGAGACATGCAGCTGTTAGTATAGCAGGTCTTGAAGCATACAAGCATATGAAGTTTGAAGGAGGCGTGCATCGTGTTCAACGAGTGCCAAAGACAGAAAAGCAAGGCCGTATTCACACCAGTACAATGACTATCGCACTATTACCCCAACCCGTGGAGGTAAGATGTATTTAAATATAACTACTTGTCCCATGAACAACCCCCATTATCTGCCATCTTGAAGACATGTAAAATCTTTCCCTTTTCAATCTTTTGACCTCTCCCTGATTTTTATGGGGTTATTCCAAAACCCCAAGTCATGTTGTGTCTAATTATCATATTTATGTCCAGAGAGGCTAGATAGCAGGGGCACACACAAGTGTGTGTGTTTGTAGATTTCTTCACATTCATGCCTCACAAAATTTTCCCACCAACAAACTGTTGTGAGTTCAATAGGATTTTCTCTTACATAGCTTGTGGCAAATTACTTTGTATGAAGTAAGATCTCTTTAGCTTCTATATTTTATATACACTAAGTGTTTGCTAAGCATGAAAAATGTTCCATTCAAAAACAACATTTTAGAACCAAAGTCTATTACAATTCCAGAAGAATGCTTTAGTACAGGGGTCGGCAACGTTTGGCACGCGGCTTGCCAGGATAAGCACCCTCGTGGGCCGGGCCAGTTTATTTACCTGCTGACGTGGCAGGTTCGGCTGATCGCGGCCCCCGCTGGCCGCGGTTCGCCGTCCCGGGCCAATGGGAGCGGTGGGAAGCCGCGGCTAGCACATCG